ACGTCTATTAATGCCCTCAACCTGACGACATGTACCACCACAGAGGAAGGCAGCAGAGACTCTGGGATAACTGAGCTCTGTAAGGACAACTTCCAGGACAGGAGATGCCACCCTAGACAATGTCATGGGGTTGGAAGGTCTTGTGGCTCAAAGTCTATGCAAACATATGTTTAAGTATATACATGCTCATTTATGTATTCTCACACATGTACATATTCATATACACTCAAGCAGATACACACATACGTTTATATACAACATTTTCCAGCCAAAAGTTCCCTGAGAGCTGGACAGCACTGCCTCGTGTGGTGTCTTTAGTGCCAGGCCTATCCTGACTGTCTCCTGTCAATATTCACAACTTCCTCTCCGGGCAGCAATATTAAAGATGTTATTATGTATATTAGAGGCTATATCTGGATAGTTCCCCATGGCTCCGTGAGCTCGAGGTGGGGCTAGTGTAAGGCAAATGCAACACAGCAACTGGCTTGGTGTTAGGAGGTGGGGGTCTGGTCAGACGAGGTAGATCACCAGAGATGTGACCTACTCCGGGCTCCACCCTTCACTCTCTGCTTCCTGTCTGCTATGATGTGAGCAGCTTTCCCTCCTCCAGACCTTTCCCGCCTGGCTTCCTGCCTTGAAGTTGGCCAGCTATGGGCTAAAAATGTGAGCCCAAATAAACTTCCTCTCCTCCTCTAAATTGCAGGTGTCAGGTGTTGTGTTCCAGTGACAAGGAGAGTGATTAAGATAATCCACTTCCCAGGCAGGAAAGCCGCAGTTCAGAGAGGTCAAGTGACACCTCAGTGTAAGCCACAGACTTGAACCACAGCAACAGCTCACCAGACTCCATTGCCACTTCCCTGGCTGCAGCCATCCCCCATCACATCCCTAGATGATGTGCCAACCTGCCTGGCTCCCTGCTTTGTCCTTACTCCCCAGCCTGGTCTTCCCATGCAGCCTGTCCTGACTGCAGTTGGAAACTCTCTGGAAGTCCCCAGTTCACTCAGTAGAAACTCCAAAGTTCTTCCACTGCCCCAAGCACGGCCTCCCAGATGGCTCTCATAGTACTTCCTCCCCTTGCATTTGCTTATTCTGATCCACAAATGTGGCCAGTGCATTCACACATGCACCAGCATCCTCTATTCCCCACCTTGCTTTACCGTCCTCCCAACATTTATTGTCACACAGCCTATTTGTTTCCTTTCTATATCTGACTCCCTCGGTTAATATGTGCTCACTGAGGGCAGAAATTCACACAATGCCTAACAGAGAGCAAGAACTCAACATTTGTGAAAGGAAAGAAGGACTATGAGTCCAGGGAGTGTTTGCTGAATAAATAAATAAGAACAATCAAATGCCTCACTGAGGTAGGCTCAGGTGTGGCATGTCACTCTCAGGGAGCTGATGCCCAACACAGCAGAGGTTTTCCACTGGATTATTCGGGAGCCTGGGTGGAAGGCCAGTTTCTGGGTTGGTGATATTCTCTGGTGTCTACTTTCCTTTTCTCTAATTTCGAGAAAACACAGCCCTCACATCAGGGGACCTCAATGCTGAAGTTCTTTGGGAGTAATGCTGAGCAGAAGTGCAGGCAGAACTGGTTTTGGAAGAACAAAGGCAGCTTTGGAATAACACTAGGGAACACGGGCAGTGTTCAGGCACCAGATGCGTACGGAAATGGAAATCTGACTCTGTCCTTAGGAACAACAATCCTCAGATGAATGTTTTAGTCCAAGAAACATTGATCACACACATCACAAGTGCATTGCTGGAGGAAGGGGGTCTTCTCCACAGGTCATTCGTGTACCCAGACTCCATTCCCTAGGGCTCTGCCACCTCAGTGGATGAGTTCCAAAGTCCTGGCAGAAAAGAAGAGAGGACCATAGTCAAAAGCTGTATTATGGCCATGCCTGGAGAGTGAACATCCCTTCCTCCCACATTCTGCAGCTCTGCTCAGATGGAAGGAGGTGGGAAGTGGACTTCTCCTAGAGGCCAAAAAGGAAGTAAGAAGATCTAAAGGAAACACAGCACTGTCTCTGCCATACTAGGGAAGAGGAGACACTTGGTCCCCAGCACTCAGACAAAGGTATTACAACCAGGCTTCCGGTCTGAGCCTTGCCTAGGACTCAGGCTGTTGGTCCTGTGGTTATGGACTACCTGGGTGGAAAAACTGATATCCAAGAGGGAAAGAGAACCTGGAGTAGAGCACAGAGTTCATGTGTCAAAAGGAGAGCGCCTGGGAGCAGAGATAAAGACTGGAACCAGAAAAGCAGCCTGATGGATGGTCCCTTATGGGATGCAAGCTTTGGGAAAAACACTCATCTCTCCCTGTGGGCTCAGAAGATGCCACTTGAGTTGTGGGGACCTTTGGCCCTAGAGGATACATGGTCAAGCTGTGACCTTAGACATAGCATGGCAGTGGAGACAAGGATGTATTTTGGGGAGCTTCTTAGGGGGCAGGCAGGCACGCAAATTCTGAAACACACACAGGAATTGATACGAGATGCCCAGAGTGAGTGAGAAGACTCATAGCTATGTGTAGCTGTGGCCTCACTTGTGTTCACAGGCTTGGATATGGCACCCCATGTGCTCCAGAAGAAGGGCTCTGAGACTGCAAGGACTTTGTCCTCAGTCCTGTAGTGCAGCAAAACTGGGGGAGGTGGCCTGGGGACGGTAGAGGTATGCAGTGTGTGTGTTAGTAACCTCACCCTGAATCTCCATCTCTGGGGCATCTTCCCTGTTTTGCACTTGGGCAGGAAAAGGGTTAATTTGGAGCCCCAGACTACTTGCTTGTCATACTAGTCCTAAAGGGCTAGATCTTGTCCCTGCTTCCCACAACTGTTGAATCCCACCATATCTCTTACTCTAGACATCACCACAATGCCACCATTACCTGGAGGGGAGTATCAGGTCTTGGGGATAGGAAATCAGGCAGTTAGAAGATGCCCCTACCCAACCCAGGAGGATCAGAATTTCTGGACAGAGGAAGTTTCCAAGTACACAGAAGAAGCTGAGTGGCCTCAGGCAGTGGAGAAAGAATTAATAATAAAGACAACAGTGATAATTAACAATCAGAGTGCTGATGACTGTTCAGGGGCTCAGCCACTCTGTCCCAAGAAGCTCCTTCCTTCTCTGCCTACCCTGCATCCCAGGCAGGGTAAGCCACTGTCCTCCAGGCCCTCCAGGGTCAGGCTAAGCACCAGGAACTGCATCTAGCATGATAAGGTAAGAACTGCATCATGTCTTCCTCCTTCCTGATCTTCTGATCTGTGAAGGTTTTTCTTTCTGATAAACACTCAAGAATTTAACAAAGGCCAGAACTCTTTCATTAGAGGAAGAAAATGGGTACCTCCCTGAATTTTTGCATATAAATTCAATGAATTCTCAGTCTTTAAAACCTATTGATGAACTCCTTATAGGTCAATAAATATTTTAGTCGATCAGTTACTTAATAACTATCTACTAATAATAGACACATGAGTTACTTTCTATGGAAAGTACCTGTTATACTTTTTATCCTGGTATTTCCCCTTAGCCTTGTGGGCTCAGAGGCTGGTCTTGTAGATGATTTTATGGGGGTGTTACAGCTGCTCACTGTTAGAGGTGAGGTCTGGCGGTAAGAGGATGTCAGTGCAGGTGGGATCTGGAAGGGTGCATCTCCCTCCCAGCTTCCTGCTTTGAGCTCTGCTTCCTGTCCCCATGATGTGAGCAGCTTTCTCCCCTCCCCTCCACCAGACTCGTCGGCCACAACTTTCCTCCCTGGGGTGGGCCCATTGTGGACTAAACATATGAATCAAAGTAAACCTCTCCTCTTTTAAAGTATGGGTGCCAGGTATTTTGTCTCAGCAATGAGGAAAGTGACTAAGACAGTACCACTGCTTTTTCAGGGGTACCACTACAGTCACCTGGGAAATAAATACATGGCAGGCTGAGCCGCTCCACCTGGCATGACTCTTTTTTTTTTTTTTTTTTTTGGTCTTTTTTTCAATTTTATCGGTACCGGGGATCGAACTCACGACCTCCTGCTTGCAAGGCAGGTGCTTATGCCGCTGAGCTAAACCCCCAGCCCCCTGGCATGACTCTTAATGTTGGCTGCACTTTTCAATTACCTGGAGAGATGTTTTACTTCTACTTCTGAAGCCTCATCTCAAACCAGCTAATGCAGGACCTCTGAGGGTCAGGCCAAGGCAGCCCTAGATGATTCCAACAGGTAACCAACAGGGAGCCACTGTCCCAGACAGTGCCAACCCCTAGGTGACTGGGATTCAGAAGCCAGGCAATTCATTTATTCCTTTGTTGGATCACTAATAAGCATCTACTTATGGCCCAGGCAGTGTGCTGGACATAGAGAGCACAGTAAAAAACAAGAAACCAGAATCCTTGCCCTTACTAAGTTTAGATTCTGGGTGAGGGAACTGACCATAAATACCCTACACATAATGTTGTTATAAGGAACATACGTGGCATAAAAATTAGTAGGAGGTTCTTCCTGGTGAATCAAAAGAGGTTTCTCAAGAAAGGGGTCCTTAAGCTCAAGATTGAAGAATAAAGAACAAAAGGAAAGCATTCCAGATGGTGGAAACAGCCTGTGCAAAGGCCCTGAGGCAAAGATGTTGGAACATGAAGCACAGTGTGACTGGGTGTGCTGTGAGAAAGAGTAGGGTACAGTGCAAGGTGAGGTTGGGGAAACCAAACCAGGCAGGGTCTTGAAAACCTGTCCAGGAATTTGGATTAAACCTGTCTGTGGCATTCTCTATAACCTCATAAATATCTCAGCAAGGAGGCAGAGCCTGGCAACACTAGGGAAGCCGGGAAGCTTTTCAGGAGGGTGGAGCTCCCCTACTCTGGCCTCCCTCTGGCAAGGCCTCTGATGCAACTGCTGCTGTCACAGCGGCATTGTTCTCCTTCCAGCGTCTCACAGCCTCTCGCCATGGGAACAGAGCCAGCCAATCAGAACACTCAGGTTTAAGAGGGCAGCCATATAAATGGGGTCACCTCTCCCCTGAGAGGCCACGATCACCAAAGGCCTCTCAGGTCTCCTCCTCCTGGATAAGCCAACCCCATTGCCCCCTATTTTCCCCAAGGCAGAAGAAGGGGGGTCTTCTGCCTGTGGTCCTCCGGGGGTAGAGCCAAGCCCATGGTCACCCAATTCAGACATCAAACCACCCCAACAGCCAAGCTATGCAGCAGCCCCTCGGGAGTCTCTAAGAGTTTCCAGCAGCAGCCTGGCCAGCTCCCACAGCAAGCAGAACCTGGCTCATGGCATGCGCTATCCCAAGCCGAAAGACCAAAGTAACACCAGCCTGGGGAGCAGCGGGTATGCAGGGGATGAGGAAAACAGCAACATCAGCCTGGTGGGCAGCCAGAGAATCCCGAGGTTGACCAGAAGGCTCAACACCCAAGTGGGCAGTGCTCGGAGAAGCTATTTGACAACTGTGTATTCTCCCAGACCACTGAAGAGCTCCCTTCACAAGCAAAGCCAAAGCAGAGGCCCTGGCACCCAGCAGACTGGAGGAGAAGCGTGAAACCAGCTTGCCGGGCAGCGGTAGCAGCAGCCTGAGCAGCTTTAGCTTCGTCAGCCCAGGCAGCAGCTTCCTGACTTACCAGGTGAGCAGCAGCGGGCTGCCCAGTGTCTCAAGCAGCCAGGCCTCCGATCAGACCAGCAACAGCCAGAGCCTCTCCTTGAGCAGCCAGGGGCAAAGCGCACCGAGCAGCAACACTAACCTCCAAGAGGACAAGATCGAGGGCAATTTGAGAATCAGCAGTGAGGTGCCCCAGCACAAGCAGCCTGCCAGATGCATGTGCCTTTGTAAGACTCCAGCCTCAATTCCCTCTCACTGCTACAGATATGAGGGCCCTCAGATCCAAACTGCCCTCAGAGAGGCTGCCAACACAAGTAGAAAAGACCTTTAAAAATTGTGCGCTGTGTCGAAGCCTTCAAGGGAGAGTCCACAGCAGCCATCAGTGGGCGGGCCAGGTGCAGCAGGACAATAACAATACTGAGCACCATCTATGCTGCAGGCCATTGGTGAATGGCGAGGCCACCTCTCCCAAGAAGTACTGTCAGTTGTGAGAGCTGTGGCAAGATCGATCTATGCGGGGACCACTGGTGTCGAGACCACCAGCAGTGACAACATCCTGTGCTATGAGCCTCAGTGACAAAGCCACCCACATCCGTAATGACCATCACAGTGGCAGGTTGTGCCAATTTCAGTTGTGCCTATTTCAAGCTGCACTAACAAAAACAAGAAGGCAGAACCTTCTGCAGTGAAAATCCTTGACAACTAACATCAACCATGATGAACTCAGAAGTAATGAGTACCAATCCTTGCAAGTGTCCATGTCTAGTACCATCTGGAAGGAGCACCCTGCATGGTGGGCTATGTCCTTGGAGAACTCAGTGCTTCCCAGCTCTGTACCACACGCTGTGCACAGCGAACACAACTCACAGAACACCCCCCATGGTTCCCAGCATATCCCAGCAGCACAGCCCACAGGGACCATCCCTGGGATCAGCAGTGAATGCCACCAGCCCAGAAACAGCAGCGTCTACAGAATGCTGTGGACTGTATCAAGGGACCCCATCCCTGAGGAGTATCAATTATGGAAGCCTTCACTTCCTTTCTGAGCACTGTTCTGGACAGTGTCAGCCGAGAATCCTCCCTAAGAATGAAGGCTCCCTGACACCACATTCATGTCTCTGTGGATCTCAGAGAGGCACTGAGAGGCATATGGGGACAGGAGGAGGAGCCAGGAACTGTCCTTCGTTCACATGGTTGGAACTGTGCTTCCTGTTGCAGACAATGCCACAATAGATGCTTAGTGGTGACAGAGATCAGGCCAGTCAAGACTGGTGAGGCAGATGCTCTGGGCCACTGAGTGAATGTCTCCTAAGTGGGTGGTGGACAGGTTGAAGTCTCAGCCCTGCCCCTGCTCAGGACCAAAAGCCCCTCCCTGAGCTGACCTCACAGAGGTTGCGGAGCAAGAGGATCCATAGGGGAACAGGCTACCATCAGCCTTGAAGACACCCACTGGGTACCAGAAGGATTGCTGAGGGGACACCAAAGACAATAAACGGTGTCTGGAGAGGTCACACGTGTGTGGTTCTGTGTGTGCGGTCCCAACCAGGGCTAAGGTATAAGCAGGCACAAACTCATTATCAAACCATGGAGATGCCTCAGCTTAGCTGCCAATGCTGCCACTTATGAGTGGGGCAAAATAGTATTAGTCGGGGGCAAGAAGCCCTATTACATAGATGGGAGGTCTGTATGGAGGATTATGTGATATAGTTAAGAATGGGAAGCAAAGTGGTGGGTACTAAATCTTGCTTTCCTCGCCTGTTTGTAAAATGGCAGTGGTTTCCATCCTGTTTTACCCGGCACATGAAGGATAATTGCTTGTCATATGGAGATAAAGTTCTTAATCACTACCTTCCTGTCCCCCCCAATGGAGCTGTATCTGCTAGGAGGAGGAGATTCAGCAGAGGGTTTGGTGGTTTAGGTTGGTGAGTGTCCTTCTGAGAACACTTGGCGGAAGTGGAAAGGGAGCTTGCTGAGCCTTATACTGTAGTGGTCAGCTTTCTGACAAAGTGCCTGACAACCACAGATGGAGTTGGCTCATGGTGTCAGAGGCTTCGGTCCATGGTCAGCTGGTTCCAAAGCAGAAGTGTCATGGTGGAAGGGCACAGAAGACACAAGCTGCTCCACTCAAGGGGCAGGAAGCAGACAGAGGACAGATGAATTGGAGGGAGAGCTATGCCTTGCAGTAGCACACACTGAGCGACACACACCACTGCCTGACAGCACTTCCAGCTAGAAACATGTAAGTGGATCAGCCCCTAATGAACAAGTGCCCTGATCCAATCACCTTCCAAAAGCCCTGCTCCAAATATGTAGGACTTTGAGGGGACATTTCAGATCAAAACCACAGACACTAATCCCGTTCATAAGGGTTCTATCCCCGTGACCCCAACACCTCACAAAGGCTTCATATCTCAGTACCATCATTAGGGGAATATCATCAAAGGGGGACCCAAAGGTTCAGCTCCTGGCACCAAGGGACTCCTCATCTTGTGCGAGTGAGGCTCAGAAGAAGGCTTGGCCCCATCGATGCCCTCTCTGCCTTTGGGACACTCCCCTGGTATTCCTGCCCCAGAGAAGAGAACAGTCACACTGGCAAAGTGTATTCTAAACCCCCTCATGCTAGAGGCCCCAGACTCCCAGGACACGGCATGGTCAAAGCTGAGTACCACGTGGCATCATTATGACTGCCTCCTCCCATGTCCCTTTGCACCAGATGGCATCATTGTGACCAAGCTGTCTCAGCACCCCTCTCTTTGCTGCTATGCCCCTAGCACTACACCTCCTTTGGAATAATGGGGAATGCCATGATTTGGGTCTAAAATGTCCCCAAGAATGCTCCTGTGTGCAGAAGATGATGTGACCATGGGCCCTATGTTCATCAGCGGTCCCATCCACTGATGATTTCATAGCTGACTTGCTCTGAAGGAAGCAGGCCCAAGCCAGCCTTGAACTCATGGCACTCCTATCCAGTAGCTGAGATTACAGACATATATGAGAATATACATATGAAAGCAGTTTGGGTCAGTGTCCCATTATTAACCCCATTTTACTCATGGGAACTGAGACAGGACTTGGGATTTGAACTGGGCATTCTGCTGGATCCAGCTGCTAACCCCATCCCCTCTTTCAAGCCAGTGGGAGAAATGATGAGGGTCTGAGGTTACTGGGATGAGACCCTTGGCACCCACAAACTAAAGGAAGAAAGATTTGTTTTAGCTCAAAGTTTGTATCGGTTTCAGTCCATAGTTGCTGAAGGCAGGGAGAAAGAGTTCCTGGAGGAGCAGGAAAGAACGCACCCATCAAAGGAGAAGAGCGCGTGTGTAATCCACTCTTCCAGGCCATGCCCACAGGGACCCTACTTTCCCCAAGCTTCACTCCCAACACATCATTGGACTAATTCAGTATCACACCCCATGATCCAGGAACTTCCCAAAACTCCACCTACGAGTACATGACACTTTGGAGGGGACACCTAGATATAACTGTGACATTCTTGGACCCAGGGCAAATTACAAAGTTCCATAGCTCATCAGCAGCAGAAGTAGCCCTTATCTGGTCAAGGGTAATTCTCCAAAGAAAGAGCAGCTGGGAGCCACCAGAGGCCATAAGCTTGTACCACAATCCAAGATGGGAGTGTGGCGACAAGATGGCTGCCTAAACACCATGCAAAGCATCTGCTTTCACAGCAAGTATAGCGAGGAAATGGAAGAAGAAGGTCCTGACCCTTAACTTTAGAAAGTATCCTTTAAAAGAAGACGTGTAAGTTTGATATTTGCAGGAATCCAAATTGTCACTGTTATTAACAAGGCAGGAAAATAATGGATATTGAGCTAGTCAATGACAGTGTCTTCCATAAATGCTGCTCTAATCTCTTTGCCCCACAGCAGTTAAAGGAGCCACTTAAGCAGAGTGAGGTGGCACACACCTGTAATCCCAGTACTCAGGAGGCTGAAGCGGGAGGATCATCATGAGTTCAAGGCTAGCCTGAGCTATATAGCAAAACCTTGTCTCGAAAAAGAAAAAGAGCAAACTTAAAAACTTTATGATAGACTGACAAAAAATGTTCCCAACACTTAGCAGAACAGGAGACCATTTCTCCATCCCTGAATCTGGACTGACACTGTGATTGGCTTGGACCAGACCCAGTCTTTTGGAAATCTGATGTCTACACTGTTATATTCTGCAGCCTCAGAGTGACCAGCCTGCACTAATCGGGGAAAAGGTGAGAGGCCATCTGGAGAGCTCCCCCCACCCCAGCCATTCCTGTCCAGGGCATTGTCTCAGTCCACTTTCTAATACCGTAATAGACTGCTCAAGTCTGAGTAACTACACAGAAAAAAGTTCATTTGGGCTCACAGACCTGGCAGCTGGGGCACCAAAGGGCATGAGACTAGCACCTTACCAGCTGCTCACAAAGGCCTCGTGCTGCCACCAGTGTAGCAGACAAGCAGGGCAAAGAGGGTGCCTGAGTGGCTAACCCATTCTCCTGAAAAGGACATTCATTCGTTCATTTATTCATTTACTCATTTACTCATTTATTCACTATCCTGACACTGCAAAGGCAATCAAATGTCCAGGGCGACCAATCACATCAGACCATAGCAGCCACCATAAACCATTCAGCCCCAGACATCTCAGGGAGGGCCGACCTCAAATATGCCCAGTTAATAAGAACATCTGTATCTGGTCCAGGCAGCAGAACCTGCAGGCTCCTGAGCTAAACAGGAGGTGGGCATTTGAAGCAATTGTGTTTGGGGATTGTTACCCAGCCAGAGCTAACTGATTACAATGCTTTTCTGACCTTCCTTTGTTTTCTGAATAAAGAAGAAAATTTTCATCCTGACCATTCCGAGTATAGCCTGTGCTGACCACTGCAGCTCAGACTTATTGCCTGTCTTGCTCCCCGACACTTCTTTACCTGCTTTTCCATGCCCCACCCCCACCCTGACCTTGGCTCCTAGCACAATATAGATGGCAATGAATGTTTGCTGAATGAAGCACTAAAGATCCCAACTTCTGGCTGCCTGAGGTCTGGACAGTATAGATTCCCGCTCCCACCTGGCAACAAGCATCTAGTTTTGAGATCCCTTTGGATCCACCTTGGTCGGGGGTTATTGGGGGTTAAACTCAAGACCTTCACACCGAGCTGCATTCTCAAGCAGCCCTTTTTTATGTTTAACTTTGACACAGGGTCTCATAAAACCACTAAGTTGCCCAGGCTGGGTTCAAACTTGCCATTCTCTTGCCTCAGCCTCCCACAAATATGTATCACCAGTCCTGGCCTGGACTCATTGGGCTCAGCCTGTACACGTTGGAGCTGCAAGCCCGGCCTCTTGGGGAAGCAGGTGAGTAACACGTGGTGACCTCAGTTTGGAGGTCCACCCTTGTCCCAGTCACCCAGAGTGGCAAAGTCCACTTTTACAGCATCGGGGGAGTGAGTTAGCTAGTGCAAAGTAGGCACCGAGTAAATGTGTGTTGAGGGAAAGAGGGAGGGCTGGAAGTGGAACACAGCCGTCCTATAAAGTTTTAGGGATGGTCCTCCCTGCAAGCTGAGGCCTTGGTAGCCTCACTTGGATCACAAAGAGTCACAGTCAGTTCAAAGGAGCCTCCTACTCTAGGAGGCTCTAAATTGTCAAAAATTACACAGCAATACACCAACAAAAAACAGTGAAAATTCAAACCAGAAGCTGGGCATGATAGCAAACCCCAACACCCTGGGAGGCTGAGGCAGGAAGATCACAAGTTTGACACCAATCTGGGCAACCTAGAAAGAATCTCAAAAAATAAATGAATAAAAATCGAAAAGGCTAATATATAGCTCAATGTGTAAGGCCTTGGTTCAATCCTCAGTACCACAACAAACCAAAAATACCATAAAACTTCAAACTAGAACTCTGCAACACTGCTGGTCCTGCTGAGGGGTCAGGGAAAAGTCGAGGTGACAAGAGTGGTGGCACTGGTGAGGAGAAGAAAGCATCCTTCCTTCTGGGTCTTTGTGGGCAACAGCGCCATGAATAATTCATCAGGAAATTGGCTTGAGGTACTGTGTTAGTCTTCATTTCCAGTTCCCTGAATGCTGGCGATTCTCTGCTGAAACCTCTCAATTATTAATGTTTCTAAAACAATATTTGTTTTCTCTGCATCTAGCAACAAGCAGAGGCCTCCCAGTTAGTGATCCTGCCCTGGAATTCCCAGAGACACTGGCTTGCTGAGCAGACGATTCCACAGATCCGGGGGCACAGGATGCAGTAGCAGCAGTCAGAACTCGGAAGCCCAGGTGGAGACAGGGACTGAAGGTCCCTTTCTATCCAGAACCCCTGGGGCAAAAGCAGCCATAACAACAGCAGCAGCAAAAGCAATTACAGTATATCAGACTCTTACCTGTCAAAAAGAAGGCTAAAGACTTCTTTTTTACTTATTTACTTCTTACAAAAATTCTGTGGAATACACTTTCTCATTCTCAATTTATAGTAAGATTCAGAGAGGCAACCATTGGCCTTCATTCCACAGC